TAAATTTGCAAAGTTTCACGGCTTATGTTTATGGAGAAGATGTTGGCAAGTGCATTCTAGTGGATGTAATAGTGACTTGCTTCCCGAATGCATTAGCAATGGTAATCATAGTCTGGCTCCTTTCTTATCCTGAGGCCCGACGTCTTCATGTATACTGTACACATTACGGTACACTCAGGATTTAATCGGTAAATTCACTTCAATGGTGATACCCTAGTTGGAGCTTAACGGGGATTTCAGTGGAGATAATGGGCACAAGTGATTTCATTTTCTTATTTGAATAATTTTAGAAATTGCACAAGGAGTCTTCAGACTTGCTCTATATACATGGGATAAGCTTGTTATCTTTGCTGCTCCGGAGTGCGAGATAGGAAAATTGCTTAGTCAAAAGTCGAGAAACGATGGTCCGCAAGAACACATCTCGAGTACCACCAACAATAATTCACGACGGCTGCTATGATCATCATAAAATGATTACGGAATCGGTATAAATTCCCGACGTTCCATAGTTTAGTATCCATTGTTTTAGAAGTTGTTTTCTGGTTGAAAATTTATGAGACTATAATGTAGTTTTTATGATTACAGCATCCCCAACATCACATTTTTAGTACTTCTATAAAGTTTCCTAATACAGCCTGTCTTTGTAATCAAACGTGCTGAAGCTGAAAAATTTAAACTCCGAAAGATAATTTCGTGTCAAGACATTTTATTGAAGCAGCTACGTCTTGTACTACTGTTCTACAGCTGTTAAATTTAATGGAACAACTATATGACCAATAAAAAAAGACCATTTTATCAAGTAAACAACTATCTTTTATGTTATGCACTATCCACTAGTTTCGCCCCATTTTCTCATCTCTGTGTAGATTTTAATTAAATTAACGCGCGATTTTCTCGCAAAGGTGTATTTCATCCAAGTGCTTTACAATCAATAGAAAAACAACTTCCACGTATCAATTTCTAGTCTTTTCAGAGATTATTACATAAATATAATTGAATCTTCAGACGCACGTCGTGAAACCTCCCGAACGTTAATAACATCCTTTCTTGTTCTTTAATGACTCGTTTATTCCGGAAGATTCATTGTCGACATTCTAATTACTTTGATCTTCACTATGTCGTGCAATATTCCCATTATTCGAACATCGTTAACAATATCGTCTTGATAAATTACTTTTTTAATTTTCGCCGTCAAAGTACCTTCAAGAAAACGCGCCATTGTTCTTCTCGAAGCATGATCGATATTGACACGGCTCTCACAGGCTGATAAGATAAAAAAAAGTCTCCAGCACGAAGGCTTAAAATGATTCGTCATGCTTGGCGTAAACACGATTTGTTCGGTGCGGTAACCAGGATTTTGGTTCTGTGACCAGGATTAATCGAAGAGAAACGACTTTTACGATTCGGTCTACGGTTAGAACTGACACAAAATAGTTGCTGTTTTAAAATAATCGCCCTGTCTTGTTAGTCGGGCAGCCACTCCGACCACGCATTTCTACCCGCCTCCAACATTCATAATTCAGTAGACAGGCAGTCGGCCGTAGCTCATGTTAACATACTTTTGTATTCCAAACTTATAAGCGTAAGCTTTTAACAGAGCATTTCATTTTCGTCTGAACGCGGAGAGCTTTGTCGTGTTTTCTTCCTGGCAATTTGAAACAAACAGAATACCCACTCACCGTTTTTGTTCAAATAAACGAATTGAAGCTCGGTCTGTCTTTCGCTGGGAGATAAAAAAAAGTTCCGTCTTTCCGGCATCTGCGATAAAGATGACAACGAAACATGCAAAACTAATAAATCTGCGTCTACCCTAAAAACTGAATTAAGGTCTTACATGTGTAAAATTTATAGTCGCTGGATGGGGAGAAAAAATATAGGATAAAAACCGTCTGTTTCTGAAATGAGAAAAAAGGAGAGAATAAGAAACGGAACCGTTATCTTGAAAGTTTCACGAGCCGCGATTCGGAACAGATGCCTTTATTTGAATAGAACAAAAAATTTCAAGTGCGTAAAAAATTACGATAAATTCGTCATTATTCCGCCGAAACACTTCAGCGGTGTTATCCTTCACGACGTTCTTTCAATATCCGCAGCGACAGTTGAATTTATTTGGCAATTTGACAGCGAAGATTAATAAGCATCGCGGGGGCCAATAACTGTAAAATCAAAATAATGATGGGAATACGCACGGCGCTCCTCTATAGAGTCATTTATCAAGATTTTACGCTTCTCCCCTTTTGGATGAAATATCGTAGACGCAAACCATTTCTCAGGACCAATTGAGCATTAACGAAAAGTTGTGCAATATCGGTATCGGCTCGACGCTATACCGACCAAAGTTCGTCTATGCAGGCGAGCCAGCAACTTGTAATTGAGCAGAGGTGTGATTTAAGAGCCAATTTGGATCGGGATCCATCCGACCAGCCGGTCCGGTTCAGGTGTGGTTTGCTACTTCCCTGTCTCTTTCTCTTACGTCTCTTTCGCTCCCTGCTAATTCGACAAGATCGATGGACCGGAGCGGTCAGCTGATGCCGGAAAGGGAACGTTTACGCGGCTAAGTCATCAATTCTCCAAACGCAATGCAGCCGAGAAAAAACTAAAGCCAAAAATAGCGAAAGAGAAAGAAGATTTATACGCAAAGACTGACAAGAGGAACTCTACAATAACTTTCAAACGCAAAAGGTGAGTAAGTAAGTCAAATCAGCACATAATTGCCACAATTTGCCGGTGGAAAAGTCCTGATTTCCGCTAACAAATTGAGTCGGTGTGTTTAAAACGAAAAGTTTTGTGCACATGTAAGCCTTACTGTTTACATTAGTCCAGGGATCACAGCTTCAGAAAAAAGTCGACCAAATGGTTTGGTTACGCTTCAGAGGGCAATGTTTAAACTTTTTAAACCAATTTTTTTAATTATCACACTGATTACCACCATTTATCGCTTAATTTAATGACCGACTAAATTAATTGGATGAACTGCTAATTTGAACTTTTTTCGTTAGTGCATTTTTTGTCAATTATCGAGCTTCTGATTAATTCCCGTGGAGAGGGTGCTTCACCCGTAGCCTTGATTAGTTTGATTATCGTCGCTGGTGCTGATTGCCATAGTTAGTGCAAGATTTAATTATTAGCGCATGGTCAGTGACAGCTCGTGAACCAATTCTAAGTCACGTAGGCTGTCGTAATGTAAACTTTCCAACTTTCGCCTTGAACGCTGCGACAAAATTGCCTATTATTGATAAACGCAGCTTACTACGCTCTCGAAGGAAAAAACAACCGTAGTAACTGATTCGCTCGGTTGGCTTTACTATCACGCGTCGCCATAAAATTAATTACGTCTAGTAAAAAACGAAACTCCGTGTCGTGGAAACAATAGCGCGTCGAACATCGAACGATAAAAACATCGAAAAACAATAACTTTTCCTTATTCATGCGAAAACTGTAAAGAGATACTGCGGCCCCGAAAAACGGCAGCGCGGATCTCATGAATCATGCCGCGGACTTAAAGGAAACGGTATCGGAGAAATCTACTGATAAAAATACAAGAGAAAGAGACAAAGAGAAAAACTCGAGTTTCGCATGCGGTTTTTATAGATATGTCCCTGAAGGATAAATTTACGACCATAACCGATATCTACCTCTTTATAAAATGCAAGTTTTATCTGAAAAGCGACAGAATTACAGCACATATAAACACATTTGTAACGAAACGAGGCGTTATAAAATATCGCTGCGCTATATGACCAAACAAAATGGAATTCAGATTGCGCCTCGGAATAATAATAATAAAACTACTTCTTCATTCCCATTCCGCGCGGATTCTCTCTCTGCACGTCATGAAATCCGAACCAATCCTCCAGGAAAAATCTCATTAACTTTAAGATATTGGAAGTATGTCAGTGAACAAACCGAACGTAAATATTACTCAGTGTTTAGTAAACAAACCGGCGCATCCGCCATTTTTACTCAAGGGAAAGCAACACCAGGAGAAAAATGAGCGCCGGAAATCTAGATAAGGATCAGTCCAGTCAGCTTAATTAGCAATTTGAGGAAGGTCGATTCGAACGTGACGACGCCCGACTTTTACAGGGGAAAAGGTACGGATAGATAGGGTAGTTGTGATAATTATCCTTGTCAGGGGTGAGATAAAGACATCATCTTAACGTGCGCCTGATGCCGGCACACTAGCGCCAATAATAATTATAATAATAGTTTCCCTTGATTGTGAGGCGAGGGAAGCTCAAGTGAAATCAAATCGCTATGATCTGCCTAATGAGGGTTGCGGACGACGGGGAAAGAGGGGAAAAGTAATAAAACGTACGGGAAAGACCGGTTTTATTTCTCATCAGCGCCAAATTGGTTTTATGGTTCCGGGATGGATGAGGAGAGAGTGTTGGAAAACGATTCCGGAACGGCTGAGATAGACGGCCAATCTGTCAGCGGTTCCAGCCGAATTTAAAAAAGTCGAAAATAACCCTAATTTCTGATAAAAACCATGTGCTAATTGTAAACCGATTGTGCGGCGCGTTTATCAAAAGCAGCTCGCTTCGCTCTCTGAAAAAATTTTCAAAAGGAATCGTAGCCAAAAAAATTGCTGGACTCACAAAACGTAAATTTTGTGAGTCCAATAATTCTGGATCTACGTCTAAGCTCAAAATGTTTGCAATGAAGTTATAGGTATATATTAATAGTCCTCATAAAAGGTTCGGATCTGAGTGAATGATTTCGAGGATGAACGAAGCAGTGGACGTGCGGTAGCAGTTTTTGCAAAGCATCCATCAAATTTATTACACTCAGGTCGATACTCTGCTACCATATCCAATTTAGCTCGGTTCGAGACTTCTCAAACTAATTTAAAATAAAACGTCTCCTGACTTCGCGTAAACTAAGCCCTCATCTCTAGTTTCGACATTAGGATTTTCCGAGATAGTCTTCTGGCGTCATAAAACGAATCAAAAGAAAAATATTTCGAGCGATACGTGAAGCCCGTCGTGTTCTCTTACCTGTAGATTGGGAGGGCAGTGATCGAGCAGCTCGAGCATGTGTCGTATATTTTGAGCATCTTGTATAACGAAGTTGAGCTCCATGTCGAACTCGCCGCCCACGAGCTGAAACAACGTAACAAAGTTAGTGCCGGAAGTGGTGTTAATTAATATTCAATTAATAACTCGTTAAATTGGCGTAAGCCTCGAAAATGCCAACTTTTAAGCACGAGTGCAACAGCCGTGAAATAATCGATAAGATCATGGCAGGCCGCCCCCTGTAGGTGGTTAATGCACCGAATCCGGGCGATTATCGTGCAATAGTCGCACCGGAAATTCGCTCATCGCAACAAGTCTTTCGCTTCCGGAAGGTGGAACCTGTGATTTCGCCAAACAATTCCCTCATTAAATGCAACCAGACGGGTGAACTTCGCTACCTGTATACACACAATCGTCGAAGTTCGTCTATTATGCAAATTAAATCAAACAAAGTTGAACTTTGCCAACTTTAAATTATGCTGCAAGTTTAATATGACAAGAGCGTCGCTAATTTGATACAGCGCGGAACCGGGACGGAGGTGTTCACAACAATGCAAACAATCCTAATAATTTCGCCATTTTATGATGTATGGGGGAGGAAAAACGAGCGGATTCTCCCTTCCGACAGCATCTAACGTTCCTAGTTGCTGCCGAGTTGAATTTCAACTTCCAGCTCTGATGTTACGAATGTTATGCCAAAAAGACAAACATTACTACGGGCACGTTCATCAGTCAGACGCGCGTACACAAAAGATACAACAAACTGAAAGGGTATTGTCGACAGCCGACGGGAACTGATGACGACAATATGGCCTCCTAAATGCCGCGACATATTTGCATACGACAAAACAAAGACCCGGCCCATCTCAAAGTCATGATTAACGCCATTAGCATAATTAAATTATCTCTCCAGACAGCTCGGACACCCGACTGGAAAATGGCGACTTTTTCCTCTCGATTCTTCAAAACACTAAATCTCCACAAAAGGAAATTAATTTATTTCCTGGCTCTTGACTTGTATCCTTTTACCCACCATTAATAATGAGCGAGAGCCATGCATTCTCCCTTTCGTTCCACGACTCTAACTTCAGGAAGGAGGACTTAGCGCTATCATAACAAAACCGCCGCGAGTCGTAAATACACGCATTTAGGCCTCCGTGGCCAATTTACATGGTTACTAATCTTATGGTGCGACCACAAGCTCCGAACAAACAATTTTCAAGCTTCCAACACCTCCACGTATCGCACTCCAGACACCTCAACGACGCAAAAATCACCGCTACCTGAACGGACATCAACTGTCACTGGCGCACTTATCGTATTGTGTCGAAGCACAATTGTCACAGAAATAGAGGTCCGGAAGCTCATTGTTCCAAATCGTTGACGAATACAATCGCCTACACTAACTAAAACCAAAGAGAGAGATTTTGAAGCTCCATGGATTTTAAAAAAGATTCAAGAATTTTTAGGGTCAAGACACATAATATTACACAACAAACTACACCCAATCGCAATAATACTGTTATGTTAAACAGTAATTGAAATCGAAAACTACGGTCGATTGAAATGGATTTGACTAGACTCATGCTCTCATTTACTGGACTTGAATGGTTGACTGAGACTGCCTCGTTCCTGAAGGTGACCTCTATTTAAACCCATACATGCCTCTGGATGGTTCGCGAACGCCGCTTCGAGGGTTTTCTGGACCCCGCAATCGAGACTTCCTATCACCACAGCTCTCATGTTGACAAAGTATCGTCATTCTGAAGTTTGTATCACGTAACCTGAACGATTACATGCGAATATTTTAACAAATTGAATTTTTCTCAAGGACTACCGAAAAAGTCACTTGTTATTTGACATTTTTATTAGTGACCTATCGATTTCACATACTTATTTTTAACGATATGCACATCAATTTCTCGCAAGAAAGCCTGAAGCGACTTACGTTATATTCTACATATTTATTTTTCCCCTTCAACCATTATACTGTCCCGTAAAAGGAACATTTTAATGGAGCAGTGATATATATTATTATTATTATTAATTGTAAAAATGTCTCTATGAAAAATCATCAATGGTGATACTTCGTCAAACCACAAAAATTAAAAATAATTTTTCAAGTCGTGGACCTGTTCCAACTTGTATAAAAAGTGTAAACATCGAAGTACTACGTTTTTAAATTGTTCCCTAGATATGCAGCACTAATTAACACATTAGACGAAAAATAGTGTTTGCACAAACTGCTCGTTTAATTAAAATAAAACATCGACCCACAGCTATATGTATAAAAATAAACCCATTACGCTGTTCTAATTTTCGTTGACTCAAACAACTTACTAATGCATGTTTCAATTACGCTTTCATTTATAATAGGACTATATCGTAAGGTATTCATTACAGATGTCTTCGTTTCGTTTACTTATTTCTCCGACCGCTTTATATGAGCTAGCAGCCTTCTGCACCGACTTACAACCCTAAAAACGTAAATTTTGTGACTGTCCCATAATAAACTCCGACTTGGTAGGTGCCGTTTAAAAACAGTCCCGCCCTTATAAATGTTTGCTAATTCCATTAAAGCCATTACAAAGCGTCTTCGTCAAGACATGCCATTGAAAGCGGCTGCTCTTCGAGGATTTGGGCCCGGCATTGTATTCGCTAAAGGTTCCACTAATTCGATACATTTACTATGTAGCAGTATGCTAAGTGACTGGTACGAAACTTAAATTGAAGTTGGATGGAACTAATACCAGCGTTGTCTTACAACTAACTTGCCGCTGTTATTTCACAAGCCGAATGGATTTTGGATTAGTTAAGTTCCAAAGTGGCTTCTAACTCGACTTGTGGGTTTCCCCTGATCGATTTATGACAGAGTCCTCGATTCATTCATAGCCCGGACTTGGCCGATCCAGGAGAGAATCGTTAGGATTACCGGAATTTGCGCCAAAATTAGGACATACACGAGGCAGATGAAGCATGTCCGGAATAGTCGAGTAACTAGTGGGTCCTAATTACTCACAAGTAGTTTCGCTCCGATTCACGAGCAAGTTTGTCCAAGTGGAAGCGGAAGGCGGTCTTCGAACTTTCCAAGATGCATCCGAGTCAATTTGTAAAAGAAAAGATAAAACTCGGTCGTTATCTCCGAATGACGAAAGGACCGCGCTTTAATAAACCGTAGCCCGGACTTTATTAAATTTGGCCCGGCGTAATTAAAGTATGAGTAGCGAGATATAATTAAACGAGAGAATAACACTGCTGTTCTCTTCGGAGAGGAAATATTATCGCCAGTCACAAATTAAGTCGACGCGAGCCACTGTGCTTAAAACTTTCCACTTTTGCCTCCTTCTCCTTCTGCTCAAAGTGGCAAAGGCCAAAACCCCGTAAAGACCAAACAAGGGACGAAACCGAAACCGAGCCGAGATATTTCGTTAGCAAATATTTAAGAAAACGTTCATGGGAGAGATACAGTGAGAAACGACGATTCGGTTTTATCCCTCGGCTTTCCACTTTTGTTTCGTCGACGGACCTCAAAGCGAATCTAGCAGGTGTAATTTCCTACCAGTCTCCTTTATCCTTCAGCCGTTAAATTTTAATACCGGAAGCACAATAGCGGAGGTGCGAGCGAGGAAACCGGAAGACTTCGATAACCGTCAATGATCTCCAATCGGACGGAAATTCAGATTTCCTCGTCGAACAAAAAATACAAACGCCGCTCCACCGCTGAGAAAATTGCGATGCTAAACATGACGCATAACCCTCTCCTATTAATAAAGCAGCGCATAATCAAGATGTGTAGTAATGGAGCCACCTCCCGAGGTCACCAACGTGGCTCCGAATACTGACACCATTACGTTTAAAGCGCCCAAGGGAGTTCCACGAAATAAATAATTTAAATGTTTGCATTGCCAATGCTATCTGATCACGCGGAAATTCAGATTTATTCTACAAGAAAGCGGAATACACTAGCCACTGCGAAGAGCAACTAGGGGCTCGACGTTCCAACTTGTGTCGATTCACTTCATTGTTTTAAATATCAAACATATTGATAAGTTGTATAATTACGATCCTTAGAAATCTATTCGAGTACTCATTCGATACAGCTTTTTGTTGATTGTACGCAACTGCCGCAAGCTTCGGACGATCTTTTCAAGTAAATAATTTAGAACGTTTCCACGTTTCAATACATCTTCGTTCTCGTTACATCGGCCAAATTGATTATCCAAATTGAACGGAAGTGGACCGACGGTCTACTCTCATTCAATTGAGAAAAAAAGGTTGATCAATCTCAATAAGACTGACTAATGGAGGGCCGCCTTTACCGTCCGTTCCCTTTTGACTGGCATTAGATGTGAAATTACCTGAACTGCCTCGCTATAAATAAAATTCACTGCAGGAAGTCATTCTGGACGCACAATAAAACACCAATGAAGTTTTCCTCTTTGATTCGAAGCAAGGCGGGTTCTTTTTATTTTTTCTATATATAACTGTAATAAGAGCATGTTTGCGGCGTTAATAAAGAAAATTGATTGATTTTCGCCGCCACCTCAACTGATCTTCGTAATAACCAACTCATAACCAAATGCACACACATTCCTTAACTTCGTACGCCACAAACAACCCTCTGACAACACGAGTGACTAAGTATCAATTTTCACTTAACTACATATTCACATTCAACCCTCCAATCGCTCTCCTGCACAGCCGCCCCCTGTGACGCGGTACAGCTTTTGTATACTCCAATCCGCACCAAACAACTACAAATTACATAACAACGTTACAAAACGTGTTATTAAAGTAGAGCTTCTAAATCATATTAATACGACGGTTCAGCGAGCGGATTACATGCTGATTTCAACTAGAAAGTATACATTATCCGATTAAGGAGGGAGAGAGACAACAGACATGTACACACCCACTTCGTGTTTTGATTAAATTCTTCAAATTATAGTGCGAGCTTTAGACTCGTGGAGTGAAAATTTTTCCTTCACTGCCAGATTGCCACAGCAATTTTCGAATCTCTTTGGAGTTGGTTCAATCTCCTGGATTTGCAGATTGCTTTATGAATGCAGCGGCGTGTTTGTTTCCAG